GCCCACCGCATCAGTCGGTGTTGCCTTCAGTCTGCCACAGTCATGAATTCCTTCGGATTCGCTTCTCACGGGGAAGGAAAGCGGTGGATGATGCATGGGGCTGCCCTGGTTGTTGGTTGCGTTGAACTATTTGGGATACAGGGAATTGGAGCACATCGAGGTGCTGCGGGCCCAGCACGGGGACGTCTCCATGCAGGGAAATGGGCAGCTGTGGCCCTGAGCGGGACAGTGTAAAGGTAATTTGGTACCTGGGGGTTCTGAGAGCATCCCCTCGCCATAGAGGTCCCAGTGTGTAACACAGAGATGGGTTTGGTGGCTGCATCCCCGCTGGTTTCTATTATTTCATGTGTTTGTCACACAGGAATGGCTGTGATGGGAAAACCTCCCGGGGTGGGAGGAAAGGGACCACGTCCCAAATGCCCCAAGCGGGGGTGGAGGCAGAGGCGGGGGGTGCGACAGCGTCACCAGGCGCCTGTTTGGCCTTTTTTGGAAGCAGCCCATTTGGGGCAGTTTGTGTCGCTGTTGGGGGTTTTATGGGGATGGGTCATGAGGGGGGGACACCACCACACATCGCCCCCCACCCCAGCAGGGTCTCATTTCCTCTGCCCCCCATCTGCAGCCCCCCACACCAGGCACTGCCTTCTCCAAACTGGGGCTCTCGGGGAATGCTCGGGTGTGCGTCACCGCGCTATAAATAATTACAATTATCCGTTCTAGTAAGTAATTTAAAGGATTATTTCTCGTTTCCCTGACTTATAGGCAATTTGGAGTTTCTACTGTAGGCAAAAAACCTGTAGCTGGTCTATCGTTCTTCAGAACTGTTTTATCTTCGTTGCTCCAAGCAGAGTCATGGGAATGTTTTTTCTGAAGCAGCGGGTTATTAGAGGACGTACTTATAAATAACCACTCTTGGCTATTTTTAAGTATTTTCAACACAGTCTATCATGACCGTATGGCAGAACCCGCAGAAAAACCAAGTCCAAATCCGCTGCCAAAGTGTTCGTAACTCACTTTGCTTTACAGCTAAATTTGGGGAGGTCTTTTTGGGGATGCCGGAGACACCGCAGCCGCAGGTCAGCACCTGGTGCTGCAGGGCTGGGGAGGCTGTGGGGACCCTCCCAAATCCCAAATGGGCATTGAGGAGAGGGGCAGGGAGCCTGCTCTTGAGGCAGAATCTGTGTGAAATGACCAAAAAAGTATGACCCCCCTCCTCGAGGAGAATTGAGCATTTCAGACAAGAGAATTAATTACGTCATAATTTATTAAGTCTCAGATTGCCATATGCAATAAATTATAGCCGATATAATAATAACGTTGTCATAGAACATTACCATGAAGTACTTGTCTAACAGCTGCTGTAATCTATACAAATAAGAACTGTAGTCATGGCGTTTAGACCTTCAGTGTTAATGGGAAGTGAACAAAATATTAGGGAGTTTCACAGTAAATTCAGGGAAATACGTCATTATTATTGCTTCAGTGCACACAGTTCGCACTGCGCGCACACACAGCTGGAGAAGACGGCACAGTTTGTGGTGTCTGTAGAGCGGTTGCACTCCCCGAAGGCTGAACTCGCTGCACCACACACTGCACCCGTGTGCGTGTGAACCAACGCAGCCACGGTCCCTGCGCCCACCGCAGCAGCGGGGCTGAGCCAGGACTGAAGGGCTCGAGTTTGGTAAGGCAGCGCACACCGGGGAGGGTCAGCAAACACCGAGTCCGTCAGAGGGTCCCGAATTGCGCCCAGGCGTGCAGGGTCCCTCCGTGGCTCCGTCCCACTGTGTTCGCTGGCACCAATGCTGCTGTGGGTGTCGATGCTGTCGGTGTTGGTGCTGCCGTTGGCTCCGGTGCTGCCGCAGCATGCTCCGAGCAGGAGCCCCGTGGTTGCGGGTTCAGGTGCCCGTCCCGCCGGCGGCTCGGGGTCAGCGCAGCGCCCTGTGCATGCCAGGAGGTCACCAACAGTCCCATCCCGAAATGTTCTCCTCCATTTCTGCTCCCTCGGCCAGCTCAGTGCACTTTAATGGAGTATTTCCGAAGCGTCAGGAACTGCAGCAGCTTGTCTTTTCGCCTCTGCTTTAGCGCCATTAGCGCTCGCGTCTTCTCCTCCAGGTCCTGGTCGGTGGCGAGGATGATCTTGGCTCTTTCCTCTGCCTTCTTATCCCCGGAGTTTCTGAAGAGTTTCTGCAGGGACTCCTCGTTGATGCTTTCGAAGATGTTGGCCGCCGCTTTCTTGCGCAGGGCCGGAACTGCAGCAGCTTGTCTTTTCGCCTCTGCTTTAGCGCCATTAGCGCTCGCGTCTTCTCCTCCAGGTCCTGGTCGGTGGCGAGGATGATCTTGGCTCTTTCCTCTGCCTTCTTATCCCCGGAGTTTCTGAAGAGTTTCTGCAGGGACTCCTCGTTGATGCTTTCGAAGATGTTGGCCGCCGCTTTCTTGCGCAGGGCCGTGTCGAAGCGGTAGCCATGGACCGAGGGGTGGACGTGGACATGGCTGGGGCTTGGCCGCGTCTCTTTGCTCTCATCGACGTGGGGAGTGCCGGGTTTGCCGTCGAGTCCGGTCGGGGGGCTCGGTGCTGAGCTGGCTCCGGCGCTGGTATTTAAAGGAAATCTGGGAAAAAAGTCTGGAGGCTCAAGTTACAGCGCTGAGCTCACGGTGATGTCAACGGCGCAGAGGCCGGTTAACAGTTACGCTGCCAAATTCCATCTGCCGTGCAGACCGGGAGGTCTCTGTTCCTGCCATGGGGGTGGCTTTTCCCGCTGCAGAACGGGTTTCGGGCATCGCTGTGGGGCTTGGAGCTGGAGCAGCTCAACCCCTGTCTCTTGTTGCATGCGGAAAAGCACTGCGTTCAGAATATATAATATAATAAACAGGGAAAAGTCCAGGTGAGAGCCATCGCGGTGCGAGCAGGAGGTGCTGTGAGTCCCTGCGTGCAGATGTGTTTGTGCATGGCTTGGTCAGACAGAGCTGCACAAGGCAGCAAAACCGGCTCAGGGCTGGGCATGGGGTGCTCTGCTGCTGCTTAGTGCTCACAAAGCTGCGTTTGCAAGGGGTTCACCAAAGGCACCGATCCATGGTGTCCTCTGGGCTGTCACACCCCTGTGTCCGTGCACGCTGCGCTGCATCCCAGCACCGAGCCCTTTGCTGCTCTGCTCCTGCCCCAGGTGTCCTTTTTCTTTAATTTCCAGCTCACCGGAGCGCTTCCTCTGCTCCGGGAGGGTTTGTGCTCCCCACCCTGGGCCAACACCGAGCCCGTGGGCAGGGAGCACGGGCTCTGAGTCAGAGGGACCGGTTTGAGGCAGCTGCGAGGAGCGGGGGTTGGACTCGGCGATGCTTACGGGTCCTTTCCAGCCCGAGGTGTTCTGTGATTTTGGGATCCCTCTCACCAAGGCCATGGCCTCCCTGGCTCTGACCTCTGGAGCTTCTCCTGGATAACAAACCTGGTGTTATTGAGCACAGCTACATCTGGCCCAGAACAGCACTGGGTTCAAAAGTCACCCGAGGCCGGGGAGACAGATAAGTGTATTTTGGTTAACGGCTCACAAGCGGCCGGATGCGGCAGAAGCAGTGTTTGGGAAGTTAGCGCCGTGTTTACTGGTTGCTGTTGCCCCCTCTTACTCATCCCTGCTGAATAAGCCCCGAAACAGCCTCTGTCCCCACGCTGGTTCTACCAGCGGCCCCGGGGCTTTCCTTTATTTACGGGAGCATTGTGGGGGCGATCGCTGACCAGACCCGAAATACCATGCTTGTCATTCCGTGTTCCCTTTGAAACGCGTGTTCCTTCGGCACAGAGCGGAGAATGGGATTAGCGTGGGCTGCTGATCACCGGGCAATGCCTGGGCCCTGAACAGGCTTTTGTCTCTGGGAGTGGGACAGGGCTGGGTGTCTGTGTCCGACCTGTCTGGATTTAGGGAATCAGCCGTCGGCACCGGGCGTGCCCTGGCACAGCCCGGCATCGCCCGCATCCCAACCCGGGTCGGGCTTCCCCTGTGCCGCTGCTGCCGGGACTTTGCCCTGCGCCG